TGTTCTTATGTTGTTGTTTTTTATCTGTTGGAACAGGCCCATCCATCCATTATCTTTACCCGTTTATTCCATTTTGGGTCACGGGGGTCACTGGTGCCCATATCCAGCAGTCACTGTGCAAGAGGTGGAGGACACCCTGGACAGGTCTCCAGTCCATCACAGGGACACATAGAGACAAACAACCATTCACTCTCTCACTCTCAGGGACAATTCAGAGTTACCAATCAGCCTAACATGCATGTTTGTGGACTGTGGGAGGAAACTGGAGTACCCGGAGAACCCACGCATGCACGGAGAGAACATGCAAACTCCACCCAGAAAGGCCCCTGGACCGGGGTTTGAACCGGGTCATCCTGCTCATTGAGAGGCAGCAGCTCTACCATCTGCAGTCAATTTCTATTAAACATGATAGTTGCTTGTAAATTTTAGCATTAAGGAGTTGATATTAAAATTGTTCAAACTCCCTTCCAGAGATCCAGTGAGTGATGCATTAAAGAAACAATAAATGATGCTTCCGTCACAGTGAAGATGCACTGTGCTATGATCTAAATCAAACCTGTTTAAAGTTTTTATTTTATTTATCAGTCTTTTAAATGTTTAACTGTTAATATGTAAACCAGAATTCACACAACTGTTTTTAAACAATGTTTTTTCCTCTTGTTTGATTGTCTATTTCTGAATACTCTTTTTTCTATTAGTATTAATAACCATTTTTATACTACTTTTAGCTTTATCGAACAATCTGATGCTTTTAGTTACTTTCAACTTGAAGCTAAATTTTGTTTCTTGTAGTTTCAGCTAAAGTTTTGTTATTTTTAGCAAGCATTTTGTAACTTTAAGCTTTTAGCTTGCAATTTGCTTTAGTTGACTAACAACACAATTTGAGCTTTTCAAAGTGATTCAGAACTCTGCACCCACACTGTATTTTACAGAAATTTTAACTCCTTTTAAAAAAAGGTTTGTAAGCTCCATCATCCAGGTCAATGAATCACAAAAAAGGTTAAATCATGTCATCTGGACTGATTCTTCTTGGAAGAAACGTTTCATCTTTCATCAGAAAGACTTCCTCAGTCTGAGGCCTGCCACCAAGATCTGTCTTATAAATAGCACCTTATTGTCGTGTTTCAAGCCAGCCTGCTGGGGAATCACAGAACATGGCTTTACACATGCATCAGTCTAAAACAACCAAACATCATGTACAACAATCAAATGTTTAGGCCTGATGGTCGACTTTACTCACAGAACCAGCATGAGGACAATCTGGCCAAAATTGGTTATAAAAAAAAAGTTTTGTAAGCTCAATCATCCGGGTAAATCAATCGAAACAAGTTAATCATGTCATCTGGACCTTTTTTCCAACTAATTTTGGCCAGGTGTCCTCAGGCAGTTTCTGTGAGTAAAGTCGACCATCAGGCCTAAAACATTTGATTATTATGCACTGATGATTGTTTTGGACAGTTGGTCCCTTCTTGCATGGGTAAAGCCAATTTGTGGGAAATCCACAGCAGGCTGGCTTGAAACACGACAATGAGGTGCAAGACATTTCTTGGTGGCAGGCCTCAGACTGATGAAGTATTTAGGATGAAAGACGTTTCTTTCAAGAAGAATCTGTCCAGATGACATGATTGAACTTTTTTTTGTGATTAACTCCTCTAGTTTGTATTTTATTTGGACGGCACGGCAGAGCAGTGGTTGGTGCCGTCGCCTCACAGAGGAAGGTCACAGGTTCTCCTACCTGCCTTTCTGTGGATGTTTTCCATGTCCCTCGTGTGCACAAGCAGGTCTTGTCTGTGTACTCCAGTTTCTGTGTTCAGTTAACTGGGGGCTCTAAATTGTCTCTAGGTGTGAGTGAAAGAGTTAATGTCTAATTTTTCTCTGTGTCCAAGTAGAGCTGGGCGATACATCAATGTTTTTAAAATATCAATATAATTTTTTTGCAATATAAGTTGAGACATATATAAAACTATATAGTTTTACACTTGTAAATCATCCTGCTGTCTCTTTCTCCCACGCGGCCTCCCTCCTTCCTGCTTCTCCAGTAGGTGAGCGGGCGGGAGAGGAGACCTTTAGCACAAGTAATCACGGAAGACAATATGGAGAGCAGCTTAGCTGCTGAACAAAATGAAAAACAACAGCTGCTCTTTCAGAGGTGGTTTGGATTATAATTGTCAGATGAGAGGCAGAAAGATTGACTCCTGTAGACAATGCTGAAAACAGTCCCGACGAAAGGTCGGAACTACGAATCTTTAAAACAGCGGAGTGGAATATGAGCGTGTGTGAGGCTGCAGGTCCGACAGACCTCAGCCTCCTTCCCTGAAAAAAAAACACGGGTCAGAACTCATTTAGGCGTGCTGTGCCTTTTGAGAGGCACAGGGAGAGGTGGCGACATTAATAAATCAGCAGTTTATCATATCGTTAAGACACGGTCCTCAGCTGTGGAACAAGACGGCTAAGCGTTAGCCGTCTTGTTCCA